AAAGAAAGAAAGAAAGAAAGAAAGAAAGAAAGAAAGAAAAAGAAAGAAAGAAAAATATCCCAGTTATAGGTGCTGAAAATATCTACTTCCAGTCTGTAGCTTTCCTTTCACTATTTTTTACATTTCTTTTGATAAACAGAAGATTCGAATTTCCATACAGTTGAATTTATCAGTGTTGCCTTATGGTTAATGCCTTTTATACTGTAAATAAGATATAAAATAGTCTGAGTAAGTAAAAAAGGAGCAATCAGAAGGACATTCTTTTGTATTATCTTCTAAAAATTTAAAGCTTTACCTCTCACATTTGGGTCTTCAACCCACTTTATATTTGTGTGCAGAATGAGACCAAGATACAAGTTTCATCTTATCCATATGGATGATCAATCCTTACAGCACCATTTTTAAAAAAGACTAGTCTCTTCTTGGCCCACAGATCTACACGGCCACCAGCTTAGGCTCAGGAGTCCATACATGTGTTGAAGCCACATTTGGGCTCCTGGCTTTGTTCCACTGTTTTATTCGTCCGTCCCACACCAGTGTTACACTGCCTCAGCTCCTACTGCTTTATTTGGACACTAATCCCAAGTGGGCAAGTCTACCAACTTGCTGCTATTCTTCAAACTTGCCCTCGCTATTCTTGGGCCATTGCTCTTCCATATAAAACTGTACAGGGTCAAACAAACAAACCAATAGAATTACATTAAATTAATTGGAGAATAATACATTAATTGGAGAAAAAAATTAATATCTTTTTGGTATTAAATCTTATCTATAAATATGGTTCAATTCCTCACTTACTTAAGATTTTAAAAATAAAGATAATACACTTTCTATTTTAGATTTTTTTTCAAGTTTTTATTTAAATTCCAGTTAGTTAACCTACAGTGTAATATTAGCTTCAGGTGTACAATATGGTGATTCAACACTTACATGCAACACCCCATGCTCATCACAGCAAATGCACTCCTTACTCCCCACCATCTATTTAACCCATTCCCCCCGCCCACCTCCCCTCCAATAATCTTCAGTTTGTTCTGTATAGTTAAGAGTCTGTTTCCCGGTTTGCTTCCTTTTTTCTCCCACCATGTTCATCTGTTTTGTTTCTTAAACATACGGTATTTATATATATATATTTTGTTTCTTGAGATCATATGGTACTTGTCTTTCTCTGACTTATTTCACTTAGCATTATACCCTCTAGCTCCACCTGTGTCGTTGCAAATAGCAAGATTTCATTCTTCTTGATGGCTGAATAATATTCCATTGTGTGTATATACCACAGCTTCTTTATCCATTCATCAATTGACGGACATTCACCTCTTTCCAGCTATGAACATCGGGGTGCGTGCATCCCTTCAAATCAGTACTTTTATATCCTTTGGGTAAATACCTAGTAATGCAATTGCTGGATCATAGGGTAGTTCTATATTTAACTTTTTGAGGAACCTCCATACTGTTTTCCACAGTGGCTGTACCAGTCTGCATTCCCACCAACAGCGTAAAAAGGTTCCCCTTTCTCCACATCCTTGCCAACACCTGTTGTTTCCTGCGTTGTTCATTTTAGCCATTCTGACTAAGTGAGTAACCAACTCCCAGGTGATATCTCATTGTAATTTTGATTTGTATTTCCCTGATGAGTGATTGTTGTGAATCTTTTCATGTGTTGGATGTCTTCCTTAGAAAATATCTATTCATGTCTTCTGACCATTTTTTTAACTGGATTATTTGGTTTTTGGGTGTTCAACATTGTAAGTTCTTTATATATTTTGGATACTAACCTTTTATCAGACATATCATTTGCAAATATCTGCCTTTTATCTGTTGATTGTTTCCTTCACTGTGCAAGAAGCCTTTTATTTTGATTAAGTCCCAGTAGCTTATTTTTACTTTTGTTTCCCTTGCCTCAGGAGACATGCCTAGTAAGAAGCTGCAATGGCCAAGGTCAAAGAGGTTACTGCGTGTGTTCTCCTCTAGGATTTTGATGGTTCCCTGTCTCACATTTAGGTCTTTCATCCATTTTGAATTTATTTTTGTATATGGTGTAAGAAAGTGGTCCAGTTTCACTCTTCTGCATGTGGCTGTCCAGTTTTCCCAACACCATTTGTTGAAGAGACTGTCTTCTTCCCACGGAATATTCTTTCATGATTTGTTGAAGATTAGTTGACCACAGAGTTGTGGATTCATTTCTGGGTTTTCTATTCTGTTCCATCAATCTATGTGTCTGTTTTTGTGCCAGTACCATACTGTCTTCATGACTACACCTTTATAATATAACTTGAAGTCTGGAATTGTGATGCCTCCAGCTTTGCTCTCTTTTTCAGGATTGTTTTGGCTATTTGGGGTCTTTTGTGGTTCCATACAAATTTTAGGATGGTTTTTTTAGCTCTGAAAAATGCTGGTGGCATTTTGATAGGGATTGCATTAAATCCATAGATTGCTTTGGGTAGTATAGACATCTTAATAATATTTGTTCTTATTTTAGATTTTTTTAGTAGGTACCTCATACTTTTTATTTCCACAATGGTATCTTTAAAACTGCTTTTCAGTTTGTTGATGATAAAGAGAGATGGAATATTAATTTTTATATATTCTTCATCCAGAAAAGTTGCTAACTTCTCATTAATTTCACTAATTTACCTATACATACTTTGGATTTTCTCGGCAAACAATAAATCATCTGCAAATAATGACAGATTTGTTACTTCCTTTCTAATGCTTATATTTTTTCTTTTCCTTGTCTTATTGCCCTAATGAATGTTGCACTGAAGAATTCCAATGAGCATCCTCGACTTATTCTTTATGGAAATGTTTGGTGTAAGTTTAATGATGAACTGAATGAGGAAATGCAGAAGTTTCTAAGTAGGAAGAATAAAATATTTATGCAAACCTAAACAAGCCCTTTTTCTTTAAAAAAAAAAAAAAAAGACAAGTCTTAAAAGAATCTTTCTTCTCTAAATGTAGCTATGCTTCTTCTAAAGACCCCTCAAAACAACGTACTCAAAGGGCTATGGCTACTGACAATAAACAAGGAAAACAATCCCAGTGAAAAGATAAATCTTTGTATTTTATCAAAAGGAAGTAGGACCAGGATAGTGGGCTTACTAACATCATCCTTTTTAAATTAAAAATAATTTACTGGTAGTTGATTCAGAATTTGGTTCCCACTGTTATCTCATCTTTGTATATTTACTTATTGCACAAAAGAACCCTGGATGGTAGGGAAGTTTGAGTTCTCTTCTAAGGAGAGGTAGAGCTACATCACTATATAACCTAAGAAAAAGAAAGGTAGGGTCGGGGGGCAAGCAGCTTGGCCAAGCTCAAGTTCTACCATGTAGGAAAGCTTCTCAACTCCTCCTAATTTTGGCCTTCCTATGACTTTACCACTTTCTGGGCATGTTATGACTACACAAAGTTTAAGTCACATCCATTTTAAAACTAAGCAAAGAGGACTATAAACTGAGCACAAAAACACATAAGCACAACAGCACATGAATCAGGCAGTGTTCTGTAAACTGGAAAAAGCTATTAAACCTAGGTAATTGTTGTTATGATTTATTCCACTGAAGAATAGTTAGCTTATTCTCATTACCACAAATTTGCACTAATATAGATAATCCAGAGTTCAATAATACATGGCATTAAAACAATAAATTACACAGAAGGTCAAAAATAGGTATGTAGTATGACTAGCATTATCTATCTGAAGCAGATGATTAAGCTTCTAAGAAAACCAAAGCTATTGATAAGTATTGATAAGTATTACAAAGATAAAATACACTGTTACTTTACTTGTCTGGTCAATTTGAACTGTTCCCATGTACATCTGAGTATCAGGACCTGAAGATCCACTGGACAATTAGCACTTACTGATGAGCCTCTTAGCATGTATGGTACCCAATACCGTAATAGCATTTATTCGGCATTACAATTAACAAAGCACTTTCACATTCGTTCTCTATCAAACTGGCCTAGCCAGAAGAATACAAACCAGGCCCTACCAGCAGCCATGACACCACTTTGTCAGGGCTGCCTGCATGAGAACAAAACAAATCCCAAAAAAGACAGACCCAAGAAATGGAAAGAAAGGAGAAAGAAAAACGTTTTGAACGATAGTGTGTAAGAACTAACTAGATCCAACTTACCTGATATACCCTTGCACCTTTCAGTTATAAGACTCAATAAATTCCCTTTTCAGCTTAAGCAATAGGAGTTGGGTTTCTACCAGCTGCAACTGAGAGTTCTGAGTAACGTAAGTGTTGGTCGCATTGCTAACTGCACCAGCCAACACTGTCTCCGCCACACCCAGCTTCCTTACAGGAGCCTTGGAGCAATGGAACAGCATGATTTCATGAACCCCAACATAACCTAAATGGTCTTAGAGAAGACATGTAATGCGTATGAGCCTCAATATGAGCCCCAAATATGGGGATATTATCTAACTTGTTGGAGAGTGAAATTAGAGGTTCTCTCGCAAAGCAGCTAGATGGAATCTGGCGCCTATCATTCAATAAGTGGTAATAATACTCCTGTTTTCCATGCTGACTGGCCATACTAAATGAAATAGGATATGCAAAACTTATATATAATATATATTATATATTCCTGATACAAATAAGGTACTCAATAAATGTCAATTTCCCTTGCAATGGAAATGGTTAGGGGCTGATAATCACATTCATCTTATATCACTAACCATCTTTCTCACTATAGGAAAATAACAAAAAAGAATACAGACTAACTCCAGTGACCTTTTTCACCCCCACCTTCCCAGGAATCCAGAAACACACTGCTAACAGGAAGAAAATAAGCACATGTGAATGGATGGTTGGAGATACTAAATGGGCCAGGCAATTTTTAGCATTTGCCCGTAGGAAACCTTGACCTACGTGTAGGGGTTTTGAATTCTGCAAAGAGGAAGGTGACCATGACCTACTCACTCTAACGGAGACACTAGCTGGACCGTTCAATGGCACACAACAGAATCAAAATGCAAGACTCACAGTATTTGGAACGTATGGCAAGCCATAAAATTTCTCCTGTGTTTCCCTGAGAATGTCTGTAGTTGATGTCCTCAAGGGGTGCTTCCCATGGTAGATCTGATCCAGAGTGGCATAAAAGACCTAGATAGATGAAAACGTCCGCTTAGTTTTGGCAGTCCATCCTTCCATCTAAGACGTGGTGGGCCAAAGGTGTTATATAAGTGTACCAGAATAATAATTACACATACCAGCTGAAAACATTCACAAATTTAAGTGTATATGGCTTGAGAAGTATTTTGTACCACATTTAAGACCACGCTGATGATGAAAAGGAAAGCTCTCAACCTTTTCATGATGAAGGATATTAAAAAATTTTTGAACCTTATCTATAAGGCACTCTTTATGTACAATGGAGTAAATTAAATTTGTGACCACAAAACTGGAATTTGGCCCATAGATATCTATAGATATACATAAAATATATAGTTGGAAATAATAGTTAGTTATTGCAACTTGTGACCCTCTGGATTAGTAAATCCTGTTTGGTTTCTTCCTAGAATCCTGCTGTATCTTAAATGGGAGCAATGCAATGGTCCGAATCCCAGTTTTGTGAGGAGAAGGGACAGAACATGAAATAGATAGGGCGAGGTGAAGAAAAGGAATAGCAATCCGTCGTCTGGCAAGTACAGATGTTACAAAGAATTCTGGTGCAGCTGTTGCCCAGTCTGGGGCCAGGGCCAGGGCCAAGCCAGCCCCCACCCCTGGTGTTGGGAGATACCAGGGAAGCAGCTGCCATGCGCGGGCAGCTCTGTCTTATGGAGGTGACCGGGAGAGAGGATCACTCACCTCTGAGGAGGATACAAGCCATTGAAACATGACAGGAGAATAAAGCGTTAGTTTGAACATGAAATCTGCTGCTTACAAAGTTCTGAAAACTAAATTTTACAGAGCAAATCTGAAGTAAAGATAAAGGGCTTTTTCACTGGAACATCTGGCTTGAGTATTAGCATTGTTTGGAGTTCACCTGAAGCAAGGAAGTAGAAAACCTGTTTTATTTTAAAAGAAAAATTCTGACATGCAATTATGTTTCTGATATGTATCTTTCTGACTTGAAAATGGAATTTGTAGAGAATGTGCAGCTGTTGACTTAAAAGAACTGAGGATTAGTTTGGATAAAGGAAAAAATTTAAATGACCTCTAGCTTTTGGCTTCATCTAGATATAGAATTATGGTTCTAAATTATAAGTCAAGTTTAAACCTTCCCTAGAAAAATACAGACATTTCCTAAATATAAATATTGCCTTACTCTAACTGGTAATCTAAACATATAGCTAAATACAGCTCTTTCAATTCTAAATTCTATAATGAGTAACAATGCATAAAGTAATCAGAGGAGCCAAAATTACTCATCTGCATCTTGTCTATATTCTAAGAGAATAAGTTATTAGGAACTGAAACTTAAATTCTAACTTCCACTAAGGTGTTTTGTTTTCTGTTTTTTGTTTGCCAATCTATAAACAAGTCAGAATTCAAAAGTTTCATTCCTATAGTTATGCCTTCCACAAATGAAAGGCATAAACATGGAATGACTTTTTTTAAAGATAAAAACAGAGCGAAATAAATGAAATTGTGCATGTGATTCATGCTTATTTGCTGATAAACCAAAAAATTCTAAAGCGATGAGCCTATTTGCCCACCCAGGGAGTCACGCTCACCTGGGACCAACAGCCTTAGAGCCACAGAAAAACAGGAGCCTATTTTTTAAAACAATGCACAAGAGAAAAAAAAATTTGCAATTTTAAGAACACTGTGTATACCCCCTTAGAAACCTGGAACAATTCATTTCCTTTCCCCCCTTATTTGTGGGCACTGTACAAGGGGACTATTGTGGGATAGGAAAGCTGGCACGGGGAGCTCTTCTGGCAAGAATTCACCTCCTTCTGGGGCGCCTGGGTGGCTCAGTTGGTTAAGCGACTGCCTTCGGCTCAGGTCATGATCCTGGAGTCCCGGGATCGAGTCCCACGTCGGGCTCCCTGCTCAGCAGGGAGTCTGCTTCTCTCTCTGACCCTCCCCCCTCTCATGCCCTCTCTCTATCTCATTCTCTCTCTCAAATAAATAAACAAAATCTTTAAAAAAAAAAAAAAAAAAGAATTCACCTCCTTCTCCTCTCTCTTCCCCTGTCTCTCAGGGGGTTATTCTTTTGGAGGGTGGAAGGAAGGAAAGGTTGGTTTTCTATTTTAAAAGAAAATCTTTGGAACAAATATTCAAAAAGAAAGCCACAACCCAGGCTGTTAAAAGGTAGGACTTCCGGGGTCCTGGGTGGCTCAGCCGTTAAGTGTCTGCCTGTGGCTCAGGTCATGACCCCGGGGTCCTGGGATCGAGCCCTGCATCGGGCTCCCTGCTCCGTGGGGAGTCTATTTCTTCCTCTCCCACTCCCCCTGCTTGTGTTCCTGCTCTCGCTAACTCTCTCTCGGTCAAACAAATAAATAAAATCTTTAAAAAAAAAAAAAAGTAGGACTTCCACTATAGGTACAGGCAAATCAAAAGACTTTTGCTGAGTAATGCTAATTTTTTCAAATAATTCAGAGGTCTTTTTAAAATTATATTGATATGCATAGTCATTAATGTAAATCAAATATAAATCCACAGTTTTCTCTATAGTGTACATTTTCTTCAAATATATATTTTAAGGTACAACATAAACAGAGTTCATAAGGGCTGAATTTTACAAAACCATAGAGCAATTAAATGGTGCCCACACTTTTAAATGGGTAGCTGGATCATTATAAAATGAATATTGCCTGAGATGAAAGACAGTGTTTAGGCTGTGTTTATAGAATTCTCAAGACCTGATGAAGAGTAAGAATTCCATAAACAATCTCAGTAATTACATGTAACCGAAACATCTGGTATATCATGTAGACCTGACATCCAGATGGTTCATAAGATTTTTCTAGTCTGTATCTGGAAACCTAGAAAACTGGCTTTGAATATTATCTAAAACTAACAGTCGTTACTGTTTAAACTTCACGTCAAAACTACAAAATTTTAAAAAGATACAAAGTGACATAAAATATAACATAGTTGCTGAAATGTATGATTTAGAAGAAGTCACGTGCCGTTTGTGCCTTTCCCAAGCTTTGATTTTCCCGACTGAAAATGGGAAATAACCTTATTTAATATCCACTTCACAAGGATGGTGTGAGGACTGAACAAGTCAGTTTGGGTCAAGTTCTTTGAACTCAGATGAAAGATGTCTTAGAAGCATGATTATTATAATAAATGTGCAGCACTGGCAAGAATTTAAAGTTATATATTTATTTTGAATAATTACTCTGAAAGACTTGAGAACAAAAGTACATACATACCTGAAGTTGCATATCAGCTGCAGCACACACCTTTTTCGATTCACAAAGCCGAGACACCATATTTTTGGGCAGCGACTTGAAAAACAAAAGAACATATATGTGAGTAAGTTATTTAATGAGTTGCTGCACTGTGTGCTTATGGAGTAGGACAGTTAAAAAAACGACAACAAATGAAAAAATTAATAACTGAATTTAGTCACAGTGACTTAAATTAGGGTTTGTACATGAAAAATACAGCACTACAGGGAACTAAGATAGTGGCGTTGATCTTTAAAAATCTGTTTAAAACCTTTGTAAAAGTGATTGCTTTTTCTGTTCCTTTGTTACCAGTGAAAGCCTGTTCAAGTGCTCTGTTGAATGTTAAGTGCATCTAATAACGGATGATAGGAATAAAGGAGTCAAGTGTAGAGAAACAGATGATAATCTATGGTGTCAGCCAGTATTAAAGCTGAACTGATATCCTAACAAATAACCACAATAATGAATTGCACATTCTTTTATTTTCCAACCTGAAAGAACTGCAGAGCTTGGAAACTCAGTATAATGACCCTATCTGATTTAAGGCTTCCTTCCTGAGACTAATTAGGCCTAATCACATAACATCACATATTCACTTAGAAATACACTAATAATGTAGTCAAGGAAGTCCTTCAGTCAACTTACTCTACATTAATATCATTAATATTGATGTTTATTGAAGACAGCTACCACATTATACAACTCTATGTATAATCTAAATGAAGCTAAAAGCCCCTCTACAGAGAAACCCATTATAAAAGACACCTGGGGCAGGTTCCTAGCACTACTGTTGTGTAAATTAACCACCCATGAATGACCACTGTGAGCTGTCTGCTGGAAGGGGGACTGGGCACTGCCATATTTACACGTATCCCCTCAGAGTGCCCAAACTACAGCAGACACTCCATAAATATTTCCAGAAGGAATGAATGAACACTAGAATGATCATTTAAGAAAGGCTTCAGTGAAAGACTACAGCAGTACGTGATGAAGGCTCAGATGACAAAGCCTGTTCTCTCTTCTTCCCGTTTGGCTATAAGAAAGGCATACCAGGCAACAAAGGAAATTTTAAGGAGTTAAGACATGGATTGAAGGAGGTTGTATAGTATAGAGTCTGACACAGGTGAAAGGCCTGGGGCTTTCTCACACCAGGGGCAGCCATCTTGTATAAAACAAAAATTTCCTCAGACAGGATTTTAAAAAGTCAAGATTTAGTTAAGTCATATATGCCAAAAGCCTCTATCAGAATGTTCAATTTCCTTAAACCTCACTTTACATTATATCTTCAGCTGATAGGACTTGTGCTATACTTGGATTTTTCGTGCCTCACGAAGGTTTAATAGTTTTGTTTTCATTAAAAAAAAAAAGTATGTGGAAGGATGGCATTTTCTCATTTTTCCACAATGAAAAGTACTGTGGATGAGCACTGTATTAGGTCTCAGAGACAGAAAATGGCAAACAGACAGGATCCTGGCCCCATGAGCTTCACAGGCTGGCATTACTCATGTAAGCACAATTTTAACAAGAGTTAACAACTACCATGAGTACTAAGACAGAAAAGCAGTGCAGGTCGGTAGGAGAGCCATGACCTAGAAAGGCTTAACTGAAGAACTAACGAAGACATGAAATTTGCACAATGAACAGGCATTAAGGAGAAAGGGATGGGCTGCAGGGAGAAAGAAGCATCCCAGGCAGAAGAAACCCCGTGTGTGAAGGGCAGAAGAGGTTCCTTGGTAGGTGGTGAGGGAGCCATGGGCAGGAAAGCAGGGTTCCAGCAGGCTGGAGAGGCAGGTAGGAGCCAAGCAGGGACACTGGTCTCCACTCTCAGACTCTGCATCATGGTAAGCCACTGGGGAGTTTTAAGCAAAGAAGTCACAAGTTTAGATCTGTGTTTTTAAAAGATTCTTTTGGCTGCAGCGTAGACACTGGAGAGGAGGAAGGCAGAAGTGGGTTACGAAAAAAACCAAGAGGCTATAGTTAGTGTACCAGTGACACACGCCAGTAACGCAAGCAGCTGCCAGAGTGTCAGGGGCAGGGGCGCCATGGGAGAGGGCTGGAGCCGAGTGGGAGATGAGACCCAGAACACAGCACTGTTTCCAGGAGTGTGCCAGAGAGGTGCAGAGAGTAAGGGCAGTACTGCAGAGGCAAAGAGGGGGAGGGAGAAGTCTGTTTGAGGTTGGAAAATGCACAAGCAAGCTTAAGAAATGCTGATGGCAATGAACCCTACAGGGACACAGACTGGAGATGTAGACAGGAGAAGAGACAATGAGATGAGAGCGCAAGGTTCCTGAACAGGCAGGAGGAGAAGTGGCATAGACCACTGGCGAGAGGAGGCTCAGGTGTTGGGCTCCCATGGATGGGTGGTCAGACAGGAAGCTGTGGGAAGAGCTGGATTCCCAGGCTTAAGAAGGTTAGAGAAAGTTGTGGGGAGTGGTCCACTGAGAAGTGCAGAATCATCAGCCCTGGGAGAACCCTGGGATCCCAGTCTGGCATGGGGTATGGGCAGAACTCAGGATCAGGCAGATGGGGGAACAGGAGGTGAATGAGGAGGAACGTCAAGTCAACAGTGGGCGATGGAGAGGGTAGGAAGGTGCCCCGGCTTAGCGGGAAAACAAGCAGCCCCAGGGCCCGCAGCAGTGATCAGGCATCTTTGAAAGGTTTACTACTTCTGCTCTGTAGACAATGATACGGAAATGCCAAGTAATGGATCTAAGAGCTAAACCCAACATAACCCCTACTTATTGCAAGGCCGATACCTCAGAGATTCAAACCCACACAGAAATGGCAAACGTTAAAGGGACAAATTTAATGAAGCTTAATTCTTTCCTTGTCAGGTTTCCAATAAAACGAAAGATGTAAAGAAAGAGATCATGCAAGAACAGGGACAGCTAAAAACAGTTCATCAATAATTATGTAATAAAAGGAAACACATCCTATAGTTACAGAAAATGTTACTGCTGGGGGAAATGAGTACCATTGCTGGTAAAGGTGACATGGGACCTCTGCGTTATTTTTTGCCACTTCCCATGAATCTGTAATTATTTCAAAATAAAAGGATAAGTACAAAAAAAAAAAATCATCAAAAATTACGTATTCAAGGCCTACTATACATACTGTAGTAAATTCAAGGAATGTTTACCAAAAATATACAGAAACATATAGAAAGTGAATACAATCCTCATAGACTAGTTCAAAGGAAAGAGTCATTATCAAAATACAAATTAAATAATATATTTATATCATGTGAAGTGTAAATAGGTAAAGAGATTTTTTTTTAAGAGAAGTTGGGAGGGGAAAGGATCAAGAGCACAGGTTGAATCTTTTTTTTAATAATTTTTTAAAAGATTTATTTATTTGTCAGAGAGAAAGAGAAAAAGAGAGAGCACAAGGAAGGGGAGAGGCAGAGGGAGAAGTAGGCTCCCCCTGAGCAGGGAGCCTGGTGCAGGACTCCCCTGAGCCGAAAGCAGACACTTAACTGACTGAGCCATCCAGGCATCTCGGTAAAGAGATTTTTAAAAAATTTAGTTTGGGAGATTAAGGAGTTTGGTTGTGATGAGCACCACATGTAGTATGGAAGTGCTGAATCACTATATTGTACACCTGAAACTAATATTACACTGTATGTTAATGAACTGGAATTTGAATAAAAACTTAAAAAATAAAAACAAATAAAAATCTAGTTTGGCTCTTAGTCAATTGAAATTAATAAATGCATGTCAGGTGAGGAAAAGATGGCGGAGGAGTAGGGGACCCTATTCCAACCAGTCCCCGGAATTGAGTTGGATATCTACCAGACCATTCTGAACACCCATGAAATCAGCTTGAGATGTAAGAAGATATATCTGGAGCTCTACAAACAGAGTATCGCAGGTTTTGAGGTATGAAGTGGGGAGCCGTGATTCTGTGGGCAGATATCGGAAGATAAACGGAAGCGGGAGGGAGCCTTCGGGATCCTGCACCAACGTTGTATGAAAGCCTCCCACACTGGGGACTGGGCACAGACTCACAGACCGATAGCAGTGGGGAAAAGACTTTAGGGCAGCCCCCTGGAATGAAACCTGGAGTGGCAGGGCCACGTGAGTGAACTGGGGGGGGGGGGGCTGGCTGTTTTAGAAGCAAAACAGGAAGAGATGTGCCCTGACCTGGAGACGAGGACTGGGAGTGCTGCTGAGGGGTGCACAACCCAAGACACTGTAGCTTTTAACAGCACAGACAGAAACAGAGATAGTGTGGCCTGGAAGAACTGGCCTGGCGAGAGGAGACTCAGGTGTTAGGCTCCCATGGATGGGTGTCAGACGGTCTGACGTTATGAAGAACAGACTGCGATCTCTCTGTTCTGAGGCAGAGGGTCGGAAATGGTCTCTTCTGCTCTGACTTTCAGAAGAGACACAGAAAGCCGCCAGGGAAAGCCGCCAGAGAACAAAAGCCCCCCAAAACCGGTTTTCACTGAGCCCATTTCCCCCACCACACAGTGGGCAGGGCAACTCTGCACAAACAGGGTTGCCTGAGTAACAGCATGGCAGGTCCCTCCCCCAGAACACAGGCTGGGAGAACAAGAGGCCGGCAACCCTAAGGTCCCTATAAAACAGGTGCATCTTGCTTGGGTTGTGGTCAATAATTTGGACTCTGTACACTCCCTCAACCACCCCTCAACAGAATGACTAGGAGGAGGAAGCCCCAAAATAGGAAAGACTCAGATACTGACTTCTGCCACAGATTTACAAATGGATACAGATATAACCAAAATGTCAGAAATGGAATTCAGGGTAGCAGTTGTGAAGACAATAGCTAGAATGGAGAAATTGATTAATGGCAACATAGAGTCTCTAAGGGCAGAAATGAAAGCTGAATTGGCAGAACTTAAAAATGCTATTAATGAGATCCAATTTAATTTAGGTAATCTAACACCTACAGTAAGTGAGGCAGAAGAATGAATTAGTGATCTAGAAGACCAATTGATAGAAAAGAAGGAAAAAGAGGCGGCCAGGGAGAAACAACTCAAAATCCATGAAAACTGAACCAGAGAAATAAGTGACACCATGAAACATTCCAATGAC